AAACACCCTGCCTGTCCACAAAAAAGGTGGGTTATCTAAAAAATAAAGGCCAGAAATCCAATAGGATATGGATCCCAAGAAGGGTGAATAGTCAAATGTCAATGTAGCTCATGAAAAGAGAACAATCCTTTCGAAAGGTAATCTTTTAGTTCGTTTTTTTTAATATCTCTTTTGTTGTTGTTGTTGTTAAATTCCCTAAACTAATAAACCGGATGAGACTATATATTTCCTCTTCATTTATCATTCCATCTGTTAGTCTGCTTCTCTGTTTTATACCAGTCAATCTGGCTTAGTTTTCCGCGCTTTTTTTATGCCCCCGTAATCGAAAATTCAGTTTGTCCCTGTCCGTCCGTCTGTCTAGCTGTCTGTCTGTTTGTCCGCAAAAACTTTAACCTTGCCCATAACTTTTGATTGGTTGGAGCTATGGCTTTCATTTTTTACATGTGTATTCCTTGTGACAAGACCTTTCTTTGGGTACCATAAAATTTGACCTTTTGACCTTGGCCTTGGAGTTTGACCCACTTTTGCAATTTTTTTCAGTCTGCTTGAGTTGGACCTACTTTTGGAAAAACGTTACACTTGGCCATAACTTTTGAACCGTTGGTGCTAGGGCTTTTCATACTTTACATGTGCATACCTTGTGACAAGACCTTCCTTTGGATACCAACAACTTTGACCCTTTGACCTTGACCTTGGAGTTTGACCCTGTTTTGTAAAACTTTAGCCTTGGCCATAATTTTTGAACGGTTAGTGCTTGGACTTTCATCCTTCACATATGTACAGTGCTGCTATCCTATAAGTTGACAATCCTATCCTATCCTATCGTGAATCCTGCATCCACAATCCTATCCTGTGATTTCAGTCTAATCCTATCCTATCCTATCCTGCTACTTTCAGTTTTTTTAATATTTAGGAGTTAATTTGACAAAACGAAAAAAATAATAATAAAATGACCATCATATAAAAATCAGTTATAATTATGGATTTTATTTAATATGTTTTAATGATAAAAAAATAATCGAGATCGACATCCATTAATTCCCGACACCCCGCACGAATTAATTTTCAAGTACCCAGTTAAAATGTAAACAAAGGGACTGTAATAAAACATAAGCAAGTACTGATCTAGCGAACGTGTCAAGAAAGTAAGCTTTCAAAATAATTATAGAAAAAAATTATAATCCGACTTTATTTTGATTTAATTTCACATACTAACGATGATCGAGAGACGTCACGGTATTTGCGATTTCTTTTCAAATTTATACACTTTGATAAATAAATGGTGTTAAAGTTAGAGAGGGGAAATCGTGGAAAAAAGGGGGGGGGGGGCAACAACTAAGACTTCAGATACTTTTCTAATGTTATGATTATTAATAAGTAGACTAAACGAACAAAATTTAAGCTCTTTAATAATGAGAATCAGACTATTAATGTCTATACCTTCATGCGGGGAAGGTACAACACTGTATAATAACCGTACCTGTTGAAAATACAATTTCTCTACACATACTGAATAATAAAAAAGGAGGATATGTTGGATGTTTTAACAGTTATATGTTTCATGTAAAATTTATGCAAAACTCTATTTTTTCCCTAAACTGTAAACTGAGCACCATGAAAAATAATACATGTACATATACCTAACTTAGATTTTATTCATACTCATCTAAATCCAGAAAGAAGATGCATGTATGACAAGACCATCAACTGAGAACAGATATTTAGAATATCTTGACTTTTATTTATTAAACATGTAAAAAAATATTTAAATGTATTCTTGTTTGAGATGTTCAGTTCCTCATTGTTTGAATTTGGATATTTTACAAACATGCAAAAACTTTATCATGTTTGCTAAATAAAAATCAAGATATTCAAAATGTTAAATTTTCTTATTTCACTTCACTTTGTTTTTAGTTTATGGTCAGTTCAGTGTCATACAAAAGTATTTCAATAACCATAGTTTTATGAGTGAGAATTTAATTTATGTTTCACAGAAAATATTTTCATAAATCTTCATAGTCAGATAGATTGACAGCTGCAATAATTATTGCAGTGAACACACACATATTCCTTCGAATTCTTTCCTATAAAACATGTATATGAATTCACAGTAGTTTCAGTATTTATAAGCCATATTTAAGTAAATTTTGTTTTTGACCTTGACATTTGATCTTGAATGTTATTCATGGTCTAAATGAGGAACAAAAATGCTTGACCAAGTTGACAATATTTATTCAGGGTAATTGCCTCTTCAGTGTTAAATATATATATTTTGGGCCAAATAAATCTTATCTACAATCTACAATTTTATTTTTTTTTTATCTACAATGTATAACAATTGAATGTTCCATTATGAGACAAATTCATCAGAAGTATACATGTATTCAATTAATGCCAAGCTCACAGATATATGTACATGAAATCTGTTTAAATTTAAGTTTATCAATATCTTTTTCCAATTGCATGATGTTTTACGTGCATATGATTTTGACTGCTTGTCCGTCGCTCAAATTGAATTTCAAATGTCAAAGTTTGTGTCAAAGAGCTAGTCATAAGTAACTGAACAGTTTCAAAATTGTCAATAATGCACAGAAAACAAATACTTCACACACCGATCTCCTTAATGAAAAACATCATGATTTTAGACTCTAGGGGGCTCTTGTACAGTGGTTTGAACATCTTTCATATTTATTCCAGCAGCAGATGAGATGAAGTGCAATATGTACAGCAGCAAATATGCAGGATAGTCCTTAAAGAAAACCCCAATAATTATCATGATTATAACAATATATGCATGTAGATTGTGCAATTTTGTCATATACATTATACATTAAAACTGTATTTTATTGTGATTATCTTTCTCATTTCATGTACGACTGGCTGAATTTTACCTTTTTTCTCTCCCAGAGTAATGCATTTAAAGAAATCAAGCAAACTCAAATCTAATACTGCAACTTCATAGTCATATCTTAATTAAACAATCATAATTTACTTGTAAATTGTAATTCATTTCATCTCGTCAACTTGTTAACTAGTATGAATATATTTGTTTGTTTGTTTTTTTCTCTATTTTGAATTTTTCTGCTTGTATTAATCTATTTATGTTTTTTGTTTGTTTTCTTCTTTGCTTAAAATTTGAATAAGAAAAAATTATGAAAATACATATAACTTGATGATGACATGATGACCAGAACAATAACACGTTGTTTTCAGTTTTACTCTTTTTTTTTTTTTAAAGAAGAAAGATAACTTATTCAGAGAATCTACAGAAACTTCATCTCAACTCAGATAATGATCTGTATGTATTATACTGATACCCTTGCATAAGCATATGTTAATTATTATACCTACTTTTTTTATGTAAAATCCTTTTTTCCTCACAAAATATTTTGACGAGGGCAGGCAAAACCAAGTATTATTCTCTGCAATGAAAAATAATGAATGATTAATTTATAATTCATAACCCAGAATAGGTCATACATACAATGTACATGTAAGTGCTGAGTTGCCTTATAATACAATTTAAACAGTAGCATAAGAAATGATTCTGTCTTTATTTTATTATAATTGCACTCAAATAAAAAAAAAAACATTTTTGTAAACCACAGTAGGGAAATAATATAGTAAAAACAAACTGAAAAAGGCATAACACGTCTTATTGTTTAGAACACACTGAATCATGACAGAGTATTTGTAAATTTTTAACCCCCTCCCCTTCTTACACTACCTTTTTTTCCACACCCGATTTTTGTCTATATTATACTAGAATAACATTTTAATAGCTCAAGTCATTATAAAATTGTTCAAAGGGGAAAATGTATAAAAATGCACACATGTACAGTGTGTAGTATACTTACATGTTCTTGCTCCAAACAACTGCGATATCGATCTGTTCAAGTCCGCCGTTGGCAGATTGTGTAGAATTATCCAGACAAACAGAGCACATATAACACAGTTACATGTTATTGAACTTTAAAACAAGTAGGAATTGGCTTAATCATCCAAACATACTGAAGAAAATAAGATCTCTTGATCTCCGAACTCTTCGTTGTTTACATGCGAAAATTCTTCCGGTGATCGTTCACGGTTAAATCGTACGCAATGTCACTCGAAGTTAATTATTAATTTGTGTTAAAATAAACAAAATATGTTTATTTTCTATCGTAATTTTATAAATATTTCTTTTGTAAACGTTTTAAAACATATTCCGTTTTTGTAATTAATTTTCTGAAATATGAATCAACCTTTACTCGAATCTGATTGGCTGTAGGATACAGGATAGGATAGGATTGGATTAACTACTATATGTTTCTATCGTGAATCCTCAATCCTGAATCCTATCCAAACCCATCCCATGTCAACGTGTGGGATAGCAGCACTGTAATCCTTGTGACAAGGTCTTCCTTTGGATACCAACAACTTTGACCCTTTGACCTTGACCTTGGAGTTTGACCTACTTTTGCAAAACTTTAACCTTGGCCATAACTTTTGAACGGTTGGTGCTGGGGTTTCATACTTCACATATGTAATTGTTGTCACAAGACCTTCACATGTGTATTTCTTGTTAGAAGGCCTTTCCTTGGGCACCATTAATTTTGACCATTTGAACTTGACCTTGATGTTTGACTTACTTTTAAAAAACTTTAACCTTTTCCATATCTATTCAATGGTCTCTGCTAGGGTTTTCGTATTTCGAAGGTGTACTCCTCCAGACAAGACCTTACATTGGGTACCAACATATTTGATTTGCATTTGAGAAAGTTTAACCTTTCATATGAGTTGCCATACGGGGGCATCAGTGTTTAACAAACACATCTGGTTTTGTTGAAATGTTTGCATAACTATAATATATAATTATTTGTTGTGAAATACTTATTCTTGGAATCTATGATTGGAATATATGTTTGTGTTTATTTCTGTGAATCCATTTGTGTAATTTTTGTGTGGAATTTTGCAAAAATGGAATCATATTTGATAAATTAAGGTGTGACCACTCAACCATGAATTCACTAAATATTACAAGGAGATTGTTCCAGAGGGTAAAACCTGTGGTCAGCGGAGCGTGTTCGAGTTTACCTGGATCTCGTCGAACCAGGCGTGGATCAAAAGCGGGGTGTAGAGTGATAAGACAAATCCGCAAAGTTGTGAACGTCCGGGCATCTACTCCGTATTATCAAAATAGGTACATAAACCGAGGAAATCTTGTAAATGTAGTTTGTCAAACTATTACACATTCACATACAGTGGAGACTATACAAACCTGTATACGCCCACGCCTACTTGTGTCAAGGTCACATTCCATGCGGACTGTAAACAAATCAAACCTTCGACCTATTCCCAAAGACCAAAAAGATGTGAGTGCTAGTTGCATGTCTTTTTATACGTTGAACTGTAGATCGGTTAAAAACAAAACAACATCTATTAATGACTTTATTTTATCCAACAACGTTGACATACTTTCCCTAACAGAAACATGGCTCCGGCCAGACTCCGATCGATTTATACTCTTGGAGTTTTCACCAGATGGATATAGCATACTACAGAAACCTCGGCAAGATCAACGAGGAGGTGGCATAGCCATCGTGCACAAGGATCAAATTAACATTAAACACAAAGAATCTGACACACGCTTCACTCATTTTGAACATCTGGAGTGTAGTGTCAATGTAGGGAATCAACATATTTGTCTTTGTGTTATTTACCGACCACCACCTTCGAAGACTAATCGTTTCAAAAACACAGTATTTTTCGAAGAGTGGACACATTATTTAGACAATCTTGTCATAATTCCAGAAGATCTGGTGATAACAGGAGACTTAAATTTTCACATTGACAATCCAAACGATAGTGAAGGAAACAGGTTTATACTCACACTTGAGGAGCATGGCTTGTCGCAGCACGTAGTCGGTGCAACTCATACCAAGGGCCACACACTGGATGTCCTTATTACAAGGAAGGCAAGCTCTCTTTTAAGAGGTCTACCTACCATACAAGATCCTGTGTTATGCGACAACAACGGCAATGCTGCAGGTGATCATTTTGCTGTCCATGCTTATTTGCAGATTGCAAAGCCTCCAAAAGAACGCAAGACTGTAACTTTTCGTAGGATGAAACAACTTGATAACGAAAAGTTCAGGATTGACCTTGACTCTTCGCTAGTTCTTTGTGATAAAAACGACTCATTGGAGAATCTCGTCACTAGCTATGACCATAAACTAAGGGCCGTCCTAAACAAACACGCCCCAGAAGAGACAAGAACAATCACCCTTCGTCCAAATACACCATGGTACACGGAGGATCTAAGGACCGCAAAACGAGAAAAACGTCGGGCTGAAAAACAGATGAGGAAAACAAACCTAACTGTTCATAGACAAATATTAGAGATAAATCCATTCAAGCAACCAGACTTATACTAGACACAAAGGAAAAATACTATTCAGATAAAATCGACGAGATTGGAAACGACCAGAGAAAACTATACAACCTTACAAACTCACTTATAGGTAAACAAAACAAACCCATATTCCCTTCTAATGGTTGTGAACAGGACCTTGCAAATGCTTTTGGGACTTTTTTCCAGGACAAAATCAACACTATTAGAGACCATCTTTCAGCCTTAAATGAACAGACCTCCTCGGATGTCCTAAGAGCAGACAAAAGATTTGAGGGTAAATCACTTGATTGTTTCACACCAGCATCTGAGGCAGAGGTTCGGAAGATCATTATGACTTCTCCATCTAAATCATATGAATTAGACCCAATACCAACATCCGTTTTGAAATCCTGTGTTGACAGTCTTCTTCCAACAATCACAACCATTATAAATATATCAATAAAAGGATCAGTTGTTCCGACATCACTGAAAAATGCTGTTGTTCGACCTCTTTTGAAGAAACAGGGATTAGACAAAGAAGTGTTTAAGAACTATCGCCCTGTCTCGAACCTTCCATTTATTTCTAAAATCCTGGAAAAGGTCGTTAATTCTAGGCTAGAAGATCACTTACAGTCAAACCACCTGCATGATAGACAGCAGTCAGCTTACCGTGTTCATCATTCAACTGAGACTGCTCTCTTGAGAGTCCATCACGACATAACATCAGCACTAGACAAGGGCTCATGTGTTGTTCTCTTGATGCTGGACTTATCTGCAGCCTTCGATGTGATTGATCACACTATTCTTATCAATCGCCTAGAATTTTCATTTGGCATAACCGGCGCGGCCTTGTCATGGATACGGTCATACCTCAGTGATCGACAGCAACGCGTTGCTGTCGGTTCATCTGAGTCAAGAGACTTCCATCTAGGATTTGGTGTCCCTCAAGGATCAGTACTTGGACCTAAGCTTTACAGCCTGTTTGCTAAGCCAATTTGTGATATATGCCGTAAACACATGAGTTTCCAGTGTTATGCAGATGATACTCAATTGTATATGGCAATAACACCTACTAGCAACTGGATAGGCGTATCATCTCGTTTGCAAATCTGCCTTTCTGATATTAGTTCTTGGATGCGCTCTAACTTGCTGAAGATAAATCAAGAAAAAACGGAGCTCATTATCTCCGCTCCAAAGCACAGAATTAATTATTTTAATGAATTTAGCATCAATTTTGACGGAAATAAAATTAATGTCTCATCATGTGTGAAAAATCTAGGCGTCTTCTTTGATTCTATGTTGAATATGGATCATCAAATTCGAAACATAACCAAGTCGTGTTACCAACAACTCCGAAATATCGGCCGCATTCAACCTTTAATATCAGAGAGTGCTTGTAAGACCCTTGTATTTTCACTTGTAACCTCTCGTTTAGATTATGGCAACGCCTTACTATACGGTTTATGTACTAGTTCCTTGACAAGACTTCAAAGGATTCAAAACACAGCCGCCAGGATTATTACACGTACCAAGAAATACGAGCACATAACACCCGTGTTAGTCAGCTTGCACTGTCTCCCCGTTGAACAGCGAATCCAGTACAAGCTGCTTCTACAGACCTTTAAAGCTTTAAACGGAACATCGCCACTTTATTTGAAGATTTGGTCCAGGTTTACACGCCAAGTAGATCCTTACGCTCAGAGAACTCGATGCTCCTTGTTCAGTCGCGTGCGCGGACTAAATTATATGGTCACAGGCGGTTCGACGTGGCTAGTGCAACATTGTGGAACAGTCTACCTCAAAATCTGAGATTTGAGAGAAAATTTAATCGTTTTAAAAAATTATTAAAAACTTATCTATTTACTTTAGCGTACCCAGATTATTCTTAAGAACTTACTTTTAAAGCTGCTCATTTGTTTTAAATTTTCTTTTAACATGGGACAGAAGAGCATTTTACACGGAAATATTTCTAATCATTTTTAAAGTATATATATGCATGTATATGTGTGTGTATATTCTTAAGGTGTTTGACATGTAATTTTAATTTCTTATATTTGTAAAGTTTTTTATGTCTACATTTATGTACAGCGCTTTAGAGTAATTTATATTATATTTAGCGCTTTATAAATTGTGTATAATAATAATAATAATAATATAATAAGCAGATTTTTGGTATGTGTCTCTACTGATGAGTAAGAAGCACAAGATGAAACACTTCCTTTAAGTTTGGCTTAATGGTGGCTTATAGGTCCTTAATGATGGTTTAATGGTCGTCTTTAAGTCACCATTAAGTACCTTTAAGCTACATTTAAGTAATAAATACACCACCATTAAGTTACCATTAAGCCATCTCAAAGTCCTTAATGGATGCTTAAAGGTAGCTTAATGGTGGCTTAATGGTGGCTTACAGGTGCTTAATGGTAGCTTCTAGACAATCATTAAGTCACCATTAAGCCACCATTAAGCCAGACTTATAGGTGCTTAATGTCCAAACTCCATTAAGCTACCATTAAACCACCTTTAAGCCACCATTAAGTCACCATTACGCAGTCGATAAAACTGCTTTCACGGGTTAAATATTATATTTATAATGATTTCTTCACAAAAATTACAAATGTCGAGTTTATACATTTGTTAATTCAGCGAAAATAATGTAAAAGAAAGAAAAATAAAAGAAAAAATAAAATGAAAAAAAAGAGCATTCCCAACAGGATTCGATCCCACGACCTTTAGATTGGAGGGCGAACGCTTCAACCACTGAGCTATGGAGTTTGTTGAAATTGTAGTGAAATATAAAACCTTTATTGTTAACAACTTGTTTGGAATGGTACATGTATTTTTTTTCTTCTGATGTTTGTATTTATTAATCAATAATACGAATAATTATATTTATATATATATTTAAAAAAATTGATAAAGTTTTATACTACGTTAATATATCTTAGTCTTGGACCGGAGTTCGGTGTGATGGTGTGAAACAAGTTTTTGATTTTAAGGAGGCTGGGGGGTCAACAAATTAACCAAAAATTAACCACCAGATTTAACTTAATTTTTTAGATATGATATCTTAAGCTGTCAACTATCATTTGGCAAAGAAAAATTGCAAAAATTTTAGTTTTAAAATTTGATCATTTTCTATATCTTCATATGGAGCTCTTCTTCTAAAGGAGATCAATATAGTCTAAAAATGGCCACAACCCCCCAGCCTCTTTAAGTAACTGAATTCCTCGTTCTGTTATTCGCAGATTTATAAGCATGAAAAGATTGAAATTCAACAGATATAAGAAAATTTTGTTATTAAAAAGGAATATATCATCGAGAGAGAACGTTTGGGAAAAAACAGATTATAGTTCTTATAAATATGCTGCGGATATTTACGATTTTTGACAATCTTTGCTTTACAATTAAGTTATAGAATATTTTTGTAACATATCATCTTCAGTTTTAATTCTTTTTATATCATTATGGGTGTCAAAATAATTGTCTTTTTGTGTACAATCATAATTTCTAATTTGTCATATGCTTGCGTAAATTTTAAGTTTTGTAAAAAATAGATCATCAAAATCTGTCACTGTACGTTCCCGTGTATAGTTTACTGTTAATTGACCGGGGACTAGTGGGGACACCTAATTAAGGTCTATTGTCTAACTAGTAGATATACTGTACACTGATTATTTTACCCCGCTTCTCAATGTGTATAAATCTGGTCGGATACCCTGTTTAATCTGATCGGCTGTTCTTCTGAAAATTTATTTTGAAATACCAATCATTGAAGACCGACTATATTTTGATCAATTCTTACTTCTGCATTATTTTAAATAAATTCTTACTTCTGCATTATTTTAAAAAAATTCTTACGTCTACAGTATTTTAAAAGAAAGGAAAAAATAATGACACTTAACCACGAATTAATTCAAATTATTCATGAACTAATTCAAAGATTGGCAATATAATCTATACCTATATATATTTTTTATATCTAAAACATCTCTCTACCCAAAGAAAGATTAAGAAACTTAGAGATATTCCAGATTCTAATTACATTTCCTATGAATTCGGCAGTGGAACGTGGCTCTCCAAACACGAAAAAAAATTATGTGATTTTTTTTTTTAAGAATTAATAATATATATTATGTATTTATGGATAAAAATAATTTTAAAACAAGTATTCAAACAAACTGATTTTAGGGAGCGAAAATTTTAAGGCATTTGGTGAAGCTGTTCTCAGTTCCCGAGTTTATACGCATTGACAAAGATGTTAGAAATAGCGAGAAAAAAATATGAATTGAATAAGTATTTGCGTAAATGATACTGAAACAACTTCAAACTTAACAAGTTAGTTTAAAGACTTGATACTGGATGCGTTAAGGTGGTTTAATAAGTTTGGACATTAAGTCACCATTAAGCTGCAGCTTAATGGTGGCTTAATGGTTGCTTAATGAAGTTTGGACATTAAGCACCTAGAAGCTGCAGCTTAATGGTGGCTTAATGGTGGCTTAAAGGAATTAACTTCTATAAGCCACCATTAAGCGATTGCTTAAAGATGGTCTTTCATCCTGTGAAGATAAGAATGTTTTGCTTTGATAATTTTTGGCAAAAATAAAGTTGTTTTTTTTTTTCATAAATCACACTTGTCGATAGGGGACTAGTATTGCAATTGTTCATTTTGCAACAAAGACTATTTACGCATAAAGATAACTACGAATGTCAATGTTTGCAGGAAAAAATGCATGGACTCTTTTGAGTCATATTCGGCATACCAAAAAGATACATCTACAACAAGAGCATTAAAGGCTGGAAAACATGAAATGAAATACTCATGTTATACTGCCATTTTTTTCGTTTATTTCAGCATGGGCCAAGTATGTGGTCAACAGTTAACGCCATCAGTTAAATATAAATATATTGTAAATATAAAAAAAATAATTTCTATACAGGCTCAATAAAAATTTGTATTTTCTAAAAGGACGTTCTGTGGGAAGAGTATGAGAAGACAGTGATCGATATTTAAAAAAATCTATAAATAATACATATCTGAAAAGAGGGCAAAACACAAACCCTTGGAGATTCCAGAGGTGGGATCGGGTGCCT